CTTTGTGTAAACAGCCGATTTGTAAGAGGCCGAGTCGAGAAGTAAGGAGATTTGTGTAAGTGGATTAGAAACCGCTTCGGCGGGGCGCCCGCGACTTTCGGCGGGCCCCACAATGGGATTTCCGTGTCCGCTTGTATTTTCGAACTTTCGGATAGTTTATCCGCTAAAGCGCGAGGAATAACAGCAGAAAGATTCGTGGAAATGCCGTCGTAGTTGCGAGCGTTTTGTGGAATATAAAAAAGCGGGACATTTATGGGGTCGTCGATTATGTTGAATGAAATGGACTTTCTCTCCGCGCGCCGGCGATTAGTTTTTCGAATGGAAATTATCCCATAGGTGCGTATAATGGGCGAGATCCGGTTACAGATTGCTTTTACGGGCGCCGCGGCCGTGAAAAAGCTTTCGACGGTTCGATATTCGACCAATTGTCGCTTATCGCTAACGATTGTCCCGCGGAAATACCTTCGAAAAAAGATATGCTTTCTATTCTATTATTATAATTTGTAAATTGATTGTTAATTTAATCTCGCTTTGAAAGTGTAATTTGACAGTGATTGGTTTTTTTTTTCAATTATTCAATTATTGATTGTCAATTGAATCACTCAAAAAGAGTACTTTGATAATGATTGATCAATCAAAAGTTCGTTTTTTCTTACTTATTTTATTTTGACAATTTTGATCAATTGAACTACAGTGTAAAAGAGTAATTAGACATTGATAGATCAATCTAAAGCTTGTTTTATTTCAATTATCCTCTTTACTAAATTGATCAATAAAACTTCGCTGTAACAGAGTCATTTGATAGTGATTGAGCAATCAAAAGCTTGATTTATTTCAATTATCCTATTTACTAAATTGATCAATAAAACTTTGCTGTAACAGAGTCATTTGATAGTGATTGATCAATCAAAAGTTTGATGTTATCAATTGATCAATTAAACTTCTCTAAAAGAGTCATTTGACAGTGATTTGACAGATCATAAGTTTGATTCTTTTCAATTATCGTACATTCAATAAATTTATCAATTAAACTACACTGTACAAAAGTAATTTGACTGTGATTGATTAATCAAAAGTTTGATTTTATTCTACTCTATTTTATCAAATGATCAATTACCTAAACTTCTCTCTAAAAGATTAATTTGACAGCGATTGACCACAAGCAAAAGTTTGAATTTTCTCGAAATTCTTCAACAATACATTCGTACAAACTCGAGATTCCTCCACTTCAGCTGACAAAATTTATACCTGCTCCTTTTCCAGCGTCATTTCCATAATTTTTTTTCTAAAAGCCACTGTTTAACTTATTTCTACAGCTGTCGAGAATCCGAACGTTGAATAATATTGTATGTAAATACCCAAATAGTTTAGTTTACTAGAAGGAAAAAAAAATAAAGTTTCAACCATCTAACGGGACAGGAATACCGAATGAGATGTTTGTTTTAGTTGACAGATTTCTAGAGGGGTGCCTAATATTTTATATAGCAACGCTCCCTTGTATACCCGAAGATTTTTTCGAGGTGTCATTATATTATAACTCGTAGGTATATTAATTCGAATCGGATTCCGGCTAATCGCAGATTGAAAGGGTCCGGGGCGGCGCCGGAACACCCCTTCGAAAAACCGCTTCTCTCGAACCCGTACAACTTAATAACACGTTACAAGTTATCGGTATTTATCCGTTCAAAGAGCAGCTTTGAAGTTTTAAGTTTGTTTGAATTAAGACGTATCCTTTTCGATGTTGCTTGTAATGACTTGCAGGATTTCCGAACAGCCGTGTGCTCGAATGTTGTTATTTACCGATACGTGGGTCGTATGTATCGTTATGAAATAGGGATGGTCGTTGTTTACTTGAAAATGGGATTTTACAGGCAAATAAAACTTCGATCCGACCCCGTAAGTTCGAGAAGAAAAGCTACGTCTCGATGAGGGTGCGAATGGCTCGAGTGTAGGGACGATTTGGGTTAGGAAGACGACGTGCATATAAGAGTGTATCGCATTGAGGCCTTTTGACTGTTAGTAAAAGCCCGGCTTAAGTGGGCAGGGCCCCTTTTGATGGCTGGCACTCGAACGGCATTGTTTCAAATGGGGCAATAAAACGGAGCTTCGTGTGTGTCTGTACACGCACACGGGGACAATGAATGTACGCGCTTGGAACTTTTCGCTGGAGTAGGGAATATAGTGCGAATTAGGAATATTTGTGATTTCTTGTTGGTAACCAAAATAGAACAAAAAATCTATTACCTTATATGGGTGCTGCGCTAATCCCACGACTTTAAGATGCGTTCGATGGTACATCAACAAAACTGTTAAAATTGACATTATTGACATTTGTATGACAGAAGTTTAATAGAGGTGGGCAGTAGATGTGGTGTAGAGGTACAGTAACGACTGTTATAAAATAAGCGTTATTTTTCATATATCGTTTTCCTGATTACTCTATTTTATTCTACTCTAGTCACAATTGTATTCTACACAATTCTACTGTTCTCTACGATCAATTACTAAATTGTTTTCGCATTGAACGCGACTAAGTAATACTTTAAAAGATGCGTTCGATGATACACAAACACTAACTGTCAAGATTGACAGGATTAATGACATTTGGTATGACAGAAGTTTAATAGAGGTGGGAATAATTTCTTGGTATAGAGGTGCAGTAACGACTGTTATACATAATTTCTTATCGCGTGTATATTTTACCTCGAATTTTCCGCCCTCGTTCGCGTAATCCGAAAAACAATGAACCAGCGGGGGTTGGGGGTTTCTAAGAGGAGCCATAAGTCCGTCGAGAACGGCTTTTCAAAGCCCTCGATTTGCCCGGCGAGTCGTAAAAAGAACGGAAGACAGCTTCCTGGATCCTTCGTTTTTCGCTTAAAAGGATCGAACCGGTAACGAACGAATACATTTTATGTAATGTAACAAATCGATCTTTGATACATTAAAATATTCTCTTTGTATCACATTGCAACTATAACTGTATAATTGCATTACGACCCCCCTTTGCGCAAATTACTTCCGTGTAATGTAACAGCTAAAAAGGGGTGGGTTTTTTTTTAAATAGGTTTTCGACAACCCCCAAAGAGCAGGTTTGAATGACCGCTATTGTCTCGGAGGAGATTCCTTACAATTTACCGAGTTCTTTTAGAGTACTCGGAGAAATTATCCCCACGCATTACCGCAGAAATTCCACTGTATTTAGGAGGGAGACGTTAATAGAGCCCCGATTTACCTGGTAAATAGCATTCCAAAATTAGATATCCCAGAAGGGTAAATGTTAAAAAAAAAGTAGATAGAAATTATTCGGTAATTTTTACTTAAAATTTACACAATTCGAATTTACAGAGATTACCTAGGGGTAATCTCTGTTGATTGATTACCTAGGGGTTTTTAATGTTGAAGTTAAAAAATTGAAGTAAAGTTGAAGTAAAAAATAAAGCTAGGATTATAAGCAAACTGCCTTTTTTTCACATTTTTCATATTTTGCATTTTTAAATATTTTCCATATTTCGCATTTTCTGAATCTAACTAAATGAGATTCCAAAATTTCTCTTTATCTGAGACTGTCAATTTAATAGGAAAAAGAAATAAAGAGGTTGATACAGAAAAATAGAAAAAAATGAAATGTTAGAAGTTTAATGAGAGTCAAAAATTTGAAATTTTCATACAAAAATGATCAAGTTAAAATTTTCATAAAAAAATGAGCAAATTGATACAAAGTTTTTAACGCTTTGGCAATGACGATTCTTCAGCATATTCTATCCAAATTTTTTCTCATCAAACAACTTTCGTCTTCATCACAGTGGCCTCTGGCTCTGCAGCAATCCACCCACCAACGAAAATCCCGAATTTACATAATACCTGCGAGTGTATTTTTACTCTCCTGTTTATTTTATTGTCGAGCGCCAGTTTTCGGATTTCGTTATCCACGAGCGCTCAATCAAAATGTGTACACTAAACGCCGTTAACGAGCCGTTAACTCATATACGAGCTATCGAAACTACTGTTTGTAATAAATTACAATTACGATAGCGATCCGGATACAAAAAAAAAATCCCACTTGTGTTGTAAACAAAATCACCTACAATAGAACGAATATTCGGAGAACGCCTTGGAATTTTTCTCTACTCCTTCGATTACCATTTTTCCTATTTTATTTTTGCCTATTTATCGACGTCTGGCAAAAACTCGTTCGAGTGACACTTATTAAAGACGTGTCTCTGCCTCTTCGACCGACCGGTTATTTAATGAGCTCCAACTTTTTTTCTCCAAACGCACTTTTCCTATTACCGATAACGATTGCATCGGATGAAATAAAACTCACATCTCCATCATCGCCGTTTAATCTCGCCAAATCCCTCGCCGAACTCAAAATATTTACCTCTCCATCCATGCAGTCCATTTCATCAACTAATTTATTTTTTATACAAACTCCACGCCAAAACGGGACGTCCTGTATACCGCTTAGAAAATATTCCTTTCGTCGAATATCGCAAAAGTTATCTAACCATTTCGAAAACGCGAATTATCAATGTACAAACTAATAATTTCAGTGAATCGTTAATCAAATTACAGTTAACAGAACATAAATGATACAGCCTTCGAGATGTTTATTCAAAACCCACCTATAATCAGCAGGAGAAAGAAAATGTTATCGATAGTTATCGAAAAAATTTCCAACTGCACAAATTCCTTCCCAAAGAAAACGATTATCATTACGATGATGCGATGATACGATGATAATTATGATGATGTGATTATGATAGGATGTTGATATGATGGTGTGATGATGATGACTTGATGATTTGATCACATTATCATACAATCTTATATTTTTTAATAGACCACAAAACCATTAAGATATCTTCTCATTTAAGCTCTTAAAAATCGAATGTAGAGATGATCCCATTAGAACCCTATTCAGACGTGGCTCAGAATTATCTCATACGCAGTACCCACTTCAAGAAAGACCTCTTATAGAGAATTTCTGTTTGTTCCAGATCGAACGTGGGCCTCAGGTTCCGCGAGCTGACCCAGGCCGATCGGCTGATCCAGCTGATCGTCGACGACGACGGTCGATTGATCGACTGCGATTTCGGCCGCGACGACGGCCGATCGGCCTCGTTCCTATCTAGTTTCAGGCGCGATCTGGGCGACTTGGTGGCCGCCTCGAACGGCACGGTGGAGTCGTTGGACGGGAAACGGCTGCCCGGCGAATTCGGCTGGATGGACTTCGGCCGATTGAAGGCCGATTGCAAGAGGCGGCATCGCGAGATGAAGGAGCGGATGCAGGAGCGAAGGTAAGGCGGGTTTGGATTGGTGTAATATCGGCAGGAAATGGCTGTGTGTAAGCGAACGCGGCGAACAATAGGTTTGTTTTCCTCATCGCTGGTGCTTATCTATCGAACGGCGCGAAAAATATCCGCATAAATTATAATTAATGCTTAGTTTTGTGCATTAACAGTGCGTTGGGTTTTTAATCAATCAACGTGTACAGTTACAATGCAGTCAATTATGGATGATTAATGATTGTTTGGTGCATTTTTGCTTGTCGATGCAATATTTTTACCTGCATACGAGAGAAGATAATCTTCTTGTAGTTTTATTCCCATACATGCAGGTGCTAAAATCCTCTGAAACTCCTCTATATTTATAAATTTCTCAATTAAAATCTTGCAGTAGATGTTTATGTTTCTTTCAATATTCCTGGACTTTTATTCCTATAATTCCTATGAGAAGCACCTCCACCATCATTACTTCCCTTTTCAATATTGATCAAATTCACAATAAAAATCTTGCAGTAGATCTTGATATTTCCTCCAATATTCTTCCTGGACTTTCAATCCCACAATTCCTATGAAAGGCTTCTCCACCATCATTACCATATCCTCTTTTACATTGATAAATTTCTCAATGAAAATCTTGCTGTAGATCTTGATATTTCCTCCAATATTCTTCCTGGATTTTTAATTCCATAATTCCTATGGAAGGCTTCTCCTCCATCATTACTATATCATCTTTTACATTGATAAATTTCTCAATGAAAATCTTGCAGTAGATCTTGATATTTCCTCCAATATTCTTCCTGGATTTTTAATTCCATAATTCCTATGGAAGGCTTCTCCTCCATCATTACTATATCATCTTTTACATTGATAAATTTCTCAATGAAAATCTTGCAGTAGATCTTGATATTTCCTCCAATATTCTTCCTGGATTTTCAATCCCAGAATTCCTATGAAAGGCTTCTCCACCATCATTACTATATCCTCTTTTACATTGATAAATTTATCAATGAAAATCTTGCAGTAGATCTTGATATTTCCTCCAATATTCTTCCTGGACTTTCAATCCCACAATTCCTATGAAAGGCTTCTCCACTATCATTACCATATCCTCTTTTACATTGATAAATTTCTCAATAAAAATCTTGTAGTAGATCTTGATATTTCCTCCAATATTCTTCCTGGACTTTCATTCCTATAATTCCTATGAAAGGCTTCTCCACCATCATTACTATATCCTCTTTTACATTGATAAATTTATCAATGAAAATCTTGCAGTAGATCTTTATGTTTCTTCTAATATTCCTCTTGGACTTTCATTCCTACAATTCCTATGAGAAGCACCTCCACCATCATCACTTCCCTCTTCTACAATCAACAAATTCAATGAAAATCTTGCAGAAGTTCTTGATATTTCTCTCAATTATCTTCCTGGACTTTTATACACCATTTCTTCCACCATCCATCGATAAATTTCTCATCGAAAACGTCCAATGCAGGTCGAAACGCGACGTGGGCGACATCTTCCGAGTGCCGGGGACGAAATGGTGCGGTAAAGGCTACTCGGCGGACAAGTACACCCGATTGGGCGGCTTCTCCAAGACCGACCGCTGTTGCAGGAAGCACGACCTGCGCTGCCCCTTCTGGATCGGCGGCTTCGAGACCAAGTACGGCCTGTTCAACTGGCGATTCAACACTCTGATGCACTGCAACTGCGACGATCGGTCAGTATACAACCCGTTAATTACCATTTCCTATTATAATGAGCGTTCCCGCTGCGACGGGACCTCCTAGATCGAGAGCGTGATGAAATTTTTGGTTAATAACTTTACACGGAGAAATTAATTGCGCTATATTTATATCGACTAATTCCGGATTAGAGTCGTTTTTCAGAGTCGATTCTCGTTAGTGATTATTGCTATTTCTAATGCCTGAATATTAGCATACGAAAGCTGTGCTATCTGATAAGCGATTGAAATTGAAATGGTCCGTGGATTGTAGAGGATCGCTCTTTTATAAATTACTTAATGACTAATCAGATAATAACGGGTTTATGAGCGTATATAAACGTGCTTAATATTGAAATTAATTTACTCTTACAAAAGAGATAATTCATCTGATGTCATGAAGATTGCAATTATTTACATTATTTTTTTTATGAAGTATAGCTATGCAGAATATTCTCACCTTATTTCTCCACAAAGAACTTCCCGGGTATAGCTGAGGGAAGATTTTTTTTACAGCCCAGTCGATGATATTTCGCCCCCTATAAATAACATCGAAAACATCGATTTTGAAGTGGCCATTGTCTCAAGGGGTCGATTTTTACGCCGGAGAGATATCTAATATTTCTCCTACTCAGCACAATTGAAGCTTCCTCCTCGACCGTCCTTTAAAAACTTGAATAATTAACTTATAAATTTTAGAGCTATCTAACGAATTATATAATTTTTATATAACGAATAGAGTAGTGTAAAATGTGAGTTTCGCGTGTTTGCGACACATATTTTCCTCGGGAAATGAACGAAAAAAAAAAAACCTTGTCGAGGGGTGGAGCCATTCGCTCCGTCCTCCTAGCAGGGGGAGCCGTCTCCGGCTCGCGAGGAGGCGGCGAAGAAATGACCCGAACGCGTATTATCAATTACTCGGTGTATCTTCACGCTCGGGCGCGCCTATTCTGATTCTCTGCGCCTGTCGATCGTCCTCTTTTCTCCTGTTTATTCGGGCAGGTCCTGCACGCGGTTCCCGCGTAGCCCACTGTCTCCGATATGCCGGCGTTATTGTTTCGAAATTCGATACTTTACGGTCGCAATTGGCCGTTTCTAATGGTGTATATGTCGCAGTTTCACCGGTATTGCCTATTGTTGTAATTGTATATAGTAAAATATAAGGTTTTTTTTGCATTATTGTTGAGCTATAGGTAATGTGAGATCAAAGGAATCGATTTAGTGTGTAGTTGATGATAAAAAAGTAATAATAATAGAGAAAGTGCGCTATATATGGACCACCATAAGCAGTTTTCTCAATAAAAAGTCGAATTTTAAATTTCTATTAGCTTTATTTACATTGAACAATTCCTTTAACCATTTAGTTAAGAAAAACTCATAATAAAATTGCCCAAAAATACAAAATTAACATTTTCTAAAGTATATCATTTTTATGAACTTTCAGAAAGTGAACAATAATATGGACCAATTCCAGATTTTTCCATTTCTAGAATATAATTGACTAATTCATCATCCAATTCACTCAGTAATGTTGATTGTCTCCCAAGTTTTTGGGTGGTGATATCATTAAGTGATTTGTTTTGGGTGTATCTTTTGGAAACATTCAAAAAGCCCATTTTCTTGTCTCGTGCATTTTTAATTGCCTCCGCCATTGCGTTTTTTATCCCATGCTTGTCTGGTCTTCTCTATTGTTTTAGAAGCCATTCCAGAACTTAAAAATTAATTTTTAGCCACTCCATATTTAAAACGTGCCATTGGTCCATATTGTGACACTTACTCATTTTGAGATTATTTTTTTTTCAGAAAATTGGATTATTTAGAATATTAAAACTTACTACAATTAATTGCAACATGACTCACCTTCCTCGTGGTCTTCCTATGTGATCCATCACATAAAATAATATTTTTTGGATTAAGAAACATATAAGACCAGTTCAAATTTGACGCACTCACTCTATAGTAAAATATCAGTTTTTTGTATTAATATTGAGCTATAGGTAACCTGAGATCATAGGAATCGACTTAGAGTAGTTGTTGATCAAAAAATAATAATACTCCGTCCTGGAGAAGTATCCAAATTCACTTAATTGAAAAAAAAAAGAATTATTTAATGAGTTAAAATCTTCCATAATCTCTACTAACTGCTCCTCAAGAACTAAGAAACGCACACTCCCTATTCCCTGTATAATGCTTATATTTTTTTTGGGCGAACTTCAAAGATCCAGGCCACCGGTTTAATTAACGAGTAGCCACCCGGTGTCAAATAAATCGCTTTAGTATCCGCCAGAGAGCTTGTTACGCCGTTTCTGGTCGACTTGGCACGATCACTGTCAATTAGTATCGACTTTATTTCTTATAACAATCGCTTTGTGTCTTGTGTGTTGTTTTTTTTTCGCCGTTTCGATTGCCTCAATCCTTCGGCCGGGCGGGCGATTAGCGCCGATTTCACGGAATTCGGAAAAGTCGGGATTTTCCAGCGACGCCGCCAGCTCGTTAGGGCGATTTTCCGTCGCAATTAGACGCGATAATGAACGGAGTACCGGACAATGCGATCGGATTTGCTTCGCGCTCTTCGCTGTTATTGTTATTGTAAGCAGCTGGAGTGGGTCGATTTGGCACGGAACATTATTATCTTTCGTTAGGTTTATTTTTCGTTGTATTCGTTGCCTACGGGACCGGGATTTATGCGCTTAGAGACAGGCGTTTGTCGAAAGTTTTATGGGGCGCTTGATTTGGTGCCCAAAGTCGGCGTTTTTACTGCCGATCCCGGTGTTTTATGACCGCGTACCTGCAGTAGGTAGTACCTACCACCGAGAAAATGCCGCTTTGTACCCAACAAAAATTAGAATTCGTGAATTCGTTGAATAATTGCACCCTACATCCCCCTTTTAACGCTGTGTTAGTGTTATACTCTGCGCCTAGTAAGTCTACAGCTATTTGTAATGGTCTGTAAGTGATATTTTGCGAAGCGAATGCATCCATACAATGTAGAGGAATTTTTCGATTTATGTACAGGTTTTATGTTTAATCAGTATCATTAAATTGACGAATGTAAATAATAAATAAGAGTAACGTGAGTTCTCACAGTATAATTTTTCACGAACGAGGGCTTGATAGAGGCGATTAGAGAGCAGTAAAGATTGCAATTAATTGAAGAATCTGGTTATTTTATCTAAATGTCAGTTGTACCTACCGGGTTAAATATATAATTCCGGTTTTTATAATATACTTGGCGGATTTAATTAAGTGCCTATGAAATGTTAAAGGATTGTATCTTGTGGAAAAATCTTGTTTTTTTTTGTTAAAGTTCAAATATTTGACTTCCTTTCTATGCAGTGCTCGCAATATTTTTTTAACAACATTTATCAACATTTTTTTAATATTTCTTGTAATTCCAACAAAGCGTAATATTTAACAGTTTAACTACACACTTATCGTCTCAGTGTATAATTTCTTTACGAAACTTTTCTCGGTGTATAGAAAAACCATTAAGCCAACACCTAATTCAATCATTTTATAACGATCGATAAATTATTAAAAAATATGAAACTATAAATCAATTATTAATATCTTTTCGATTGACGGTCTCAATTTTTGAAGGCCTTCTTGGAATCGCATCCATAAAAAATGTTTATTAATAGCTCCACCGAATTGCACATTCCGAATAAATAATATTTTCTTGCAACATATTTTGCGAATATTTTGCGAATCTCTCGATTCTTATCGATTTCACGCACTGACCTTTCGATTGCGCGTCGAGAAAAATCGAATTGTTTTTACATCGTATCGATTTCACAATCGACCTTTCTGTCACTCCGGGCCCGACCCATTCGATGTTCGTATTTAAAGATCTTTAATAACGCATCGGCCGATCGAGAAATTTTTAATTGGAACGAAAATTGGATCCTCTTTTGGACGATTTATGTGGGATAATGAATTTTCCGAAGAGCGCCGATGCTATCGATTCGGATTTTAAACGCTCGATACTCGACTAATTTGCTTCGAAATATGGTGGATAATTTCGAGTTTGTTACGGGACACCCTGTAGTGTTGAATTTACGTTTATTATACTTGAATATTAATAAAAAAAAGCGTTAGTTCTAATTAAAAATCGATTCGTTTGACGTTCGTTTCCTGCGTTAATTTCGTATCCAAAAATAATTATCTCCTATAAGACATCTATTGGAATTTCTCGCCTTTCGATAATTGAATCCTCACTCACGGGTCCAACGCGTCATTGTTTATCCGGCGACATTTAAATTCGAAATTAATCCCATCGGGGACAACGCGACATTTATTAAAATCGGATAATATCTATCCGTTTTCGGAGTAAAAAATCGACCTTTCAGTACCTGCTGCGGTGAAATACCCGCTCTCCTCATACCTGCCTCCGACGGAACTCCTTTATCTGCCCCGGCTCATCTTTCTCCACAGCGATTTAATTACCAGCACGACAAAAAGAAACGCCACTCCGCCTTCGATCGACCGGAAAATTCGACTCGAAATGTCGCATATACAATATGTCCCGTATAATCAGGCTACGACGTCATAGGCTTGTTAGTTTGAACACGATATACCTACAGTTAGTGCAAAACAAATATCAATGCAAGTTACTACTTTTGTCGTACTTGTCAAGCATTTGGCCAACTTTTAAAAATTAATACACGAAATATACTGCTCCACAAAAGTCAAGGAAGTTCACAAATATTGAGATTAATTTAAAAGCTGCAGGTTTTTTGATCGCCAAATTTAGTAGGCGTTGTAGAGGTAGGGACAAAAAATCCACTCAGTTATGATAGAACACATTTAATTTCGCATATTTGAAAATTTGGTGATCAAAAAGTGTGTAACTTTTAAAATAATCGCAAAATTTGCCAGCTTCCTTAACTTTTGTGGAGCAGTTTAGCTTATGCTATATGCAGAATTTAATTCAATATTAACAAAGGATGATAGAAAATTTTAAAAAGCAGAATTAAATCATCCAAAAATATATATATTGTCAAAATTCAATGTTTGTATATTAAATAATTATTGTTTTAATATAGTAGGTTGGTAGGCACTGACTGTCAAGTTGCACAGTTGCCGTTGTCATTCAATCGGTACTTTTAATTTTCAATTTCTTCTATTATTCTAGTTTAGTAGACTCCACTACTAAAGGCTATTCAACTGAATAATCAAGAAATAAGAATTTTTTGCATAGTTATCTTTTCCACATGTTAGAAATGACACAATTTGAGCTCTATAAATAATTCAGATGCAGAAGTTTTCTCAGAAATTTCACTATGTACTCTTTTAAGGGTCAATTGTACACTAAATTTTTTACTCGCACTGTTAAATATATTTCAAATGATAAAAGAATTTAATAATGAATTATAGTTACCCCTAATTTTCAATTTATTCTTGTCATTTCGCCATTTGACAATTTTGGAAAATTCTTAGATTTTGTAAACTCTATAAAAGCTCGGCAACACTGCCTACTTGTGACGTAGTAAATTTGTTTTGCACCAACTGTGAAATGTCGCATATACTATGTCTAATATAACTAGGCTGTGGCGTCATAGACGTGTTAGATTGAAGGCGATGTATGTAGGTGATGGAAGCGAGTTTGTTTATGAACTATAGTCTTGTAATAATAATTGCTTAGTGCTTTTGGAATAAGCTCGAAAAACATTGGGCCATTAAAAGCGATAACGCGTGGTTAGTTAGTTAGAACGGACTAAGTGGCTGGGTAAACATACGAAAGAGTCATTAATTTTTTTCGCTTTTTCAACGCCTCGTTAACACCTCGACGAATTACCGTTATTACAACACGTCGATTATCCGTGACTTCTGTTAGAAAACGTACGACATTTTTTCGTACGCGACTCCCCGAAATGTTTACGTTTTTTTACCCCTTTTCATCGATAATAAATATCTCTCTTTCGGCTCCCCGTTAACGTCACCGCGACTAAACGAAATTTTTTCCGTAGGTGTCCCAGACCTCGCGCTTTCTATTTTCTTTATTCGGGCGCGCGTCCACAAACGACTACACGTGTTTCCTAGTGAAAAACATACATACACAACACAACACACACACACACAGTTCGTTAGTTTGTACGCATTGATTCCTTTTATACGCCAGTATATCTTCCAGATGAACCTGATATCGGTGATTTAGTATTCGGGCATTATAAAGAAACGCGACGTTAACAGGACAGGATTTACGAATCCTGCTATTTAATTGAAATGTAAATGCAAATGAGAGTTGTTTGTGTTATTATTTTTACACAATAATAAAGACTTTCCATCTAGTTACTAGTAATTGGTAATTAATGTAGTTACTTTATTTGTAATTGCAATTGTAGTTTGGAATCTAAAACTAATTTGGAATTGTATAAGTTCTTATAGGGTAATGTATTGAAGGAAATGTAAATTGTAATCATTTAATTGCATTTTATAATTATTACTTTTATAATTGCTTTGAATTTTACAAAATATATCCTGCAAACTGCAAACTGCAAACACTCTCTGTTAATTATCGGGAAACAGCTTAAAAAACACTTAAAAGCGCTCAAAAATATCGCTACAAAACAGCTCAAACTGCGATTCAAAACTTCTCTATAAAACCACCTCGAAAACCACTCTAAACCCGCTTCAAAGTCGCTCTAAAAACGCTCAAAAATGGCAAAAAACAGTATGTAGCGGTATCATTGGGCTAATTCGGTGCATTTTTAAAGATTTATATGGTGTTTGAGCTTGTTTGATGATGGCAATCGGTTTAAAAGTGTTACAAAAGTGCTTCAAACCGATCTTTCAATTTCCATTTCTTTTGAATTAATTCTCTTTAAAACCGTTTCAAAACTGATTTAAACATCGCTCTTTCAATGGCTTTAAACCGCCCTAAAAAAGTCGGTTCTAAAACAGTTTTAAAACTGATTCAAAATCGCCCTTTCTAAGGCTTTAAACCCGCTCTAAAACCGTTTCAAAACTGATTTAAAATAGCTCTTTCAACCGCTTTAAAACCGCTCTAAAACAGTTTCAAAACTGATTTAAAATCGCACTTTCAAACAATTTAAAACCGCCCTAAAATCGTTGCAAATCTGATTCAAATTCGCTCTTTCAACAGCTTTAAAACGTCCCTAAAAACCCTCTAAAATCGCTTTACAACTGATTCAAAATCGCTCTTTCATTTGCTTCAAAACCTCCCTAAAAACCGCTATAAAATCGTTTCAAATCTGATTCAAAATCGCTCTTTTAACTGCTTCAAAAAACCTCCCCGAAAACCTCTCTAAAACCTTTATCTATACTCCTAATTCATACTACATACTATTTCCAGATACCCCTGTTCTTGTCGAACCTCCAAAACCTCCACATATTACTTTTATAATTGCCTTAAATTTTTCAAAATATATCCTGCAAACTACAAACACTCCTGTTAAATATCTGGAAACTGCTCAAAATACACTTAAAAGCGCAAAAATATCGCTACAAAACAGCTCAAACTGCGCTTCATAACTTAAACCACCACATAAAACCACCTAGAAACCACTCTAAACCCGCTTCAAAATCGCTCTAAAAAGCGCAATAATGACTCAAAAACAACTCTAAAAACGGCCCAAAACCTTTCTAAAAACATGATTAGCAGCAGGAACAAAAAATTGTGGAAATTTTGAGTCCGCTCCTGTTAAATATAGATCACACAATAAGCAAGTGCGGTGGCTTGTCGACCCTCAGCCCTCGCAGGATTCCGGATGGCCTGCTGGACCGGAAATACACGATAAAAATGGCACAATGCGAATAGGCGATTAGTTTTACCGGGACATCTTTATACACTCTATTATCTCCGGATTTTTTTTTTAGCGAATATTGTTGCGCCAGAAATTCGTGAAATTTCGTATCGAAAATACAGTTATCGTGCGTGTCCTTTGCAAACGCGCGTAAAACCATCTACGTACGAGCAATAATGATATCCAATCGAGTTTTACGGCGCTTCACACTCTATAAAAAACACGTTGCATCGTAAACTCCGGATTATCTTTATTTATTTTCGATTTTACAACTCTACTTGCCGGGTTCCACAGCTGCCGTGCCCGCTATATCTTCTTACAAAAATGTGAAATTCCCTCCCATAATCGAAAAATTTTCCTTCAAAAGTTTGCACTATTTAACCCAAGTTTAGTATGCAAAAATGGAACATTTTAGAGCATACAATTTGTTATAAATTCATTAAAATTGGGCCTCTCTACCCTCTAATCTTTACTCTCTACTCTTTACTTTCTAATCCCCAATAGGGTGTCCCAAAAAACAGAGACCTCCTGTATAAGAATGTTGGAGAGTTCAACTGTTAATTGTTTTTGAAAAATGAAGAAAAAATTCTTGCAGGAAATCGAATAAACCGTTGATTTTAATGAGTTTTTAATTATTCGCCAAGCCGGCGATTTTAAAAAAAGAAGTTTTCCCGTTTGAAAACGATTCAACGAAGCCGCGCATTCCAAAAAAATTGTAACTCCAGTTCGAATTACTACACACAATAAATCTTTCAACGGATATTCTTATCAATTAATTGTAGCTTTATCGATAATTTTATTCGAGTTCTGTTCATAAATAAAGAGAGTTGAGAGGGTTGCTGGATAATTCCTTTGAATGAAATACTCTCTTATACAGGGTGTTAATTAATTGAATGCCGATAATTCAGGACGTGAATATTTGGGTGATTTTAACTAAGAAGTTTAGGACATAGATTGATATAAACTTTTCTTCTTAAATTCATCCAAATATTCACATCCTGTAGTATCTCAGGTCACTGAAAAAAAAATGTTGTGAAATCACAGTGTAGAAAATTATATTCTGTTTTTATCCACGTAGACTCAATTACTCCAAATTATACCTCAAATTTACAACAATTTTATCTAATTTCTAATAAAATTCTCAACATATTTTCCCTAAATTATCGTCATTCAATTAATTAACACCCTATATTCTGCCATTTTGCCTATATCATATAGTTCTATAATTATTTAATTTAATTTTTTTGATGTAATTGTGACTAATTGTTTCATGGTATAGTTTCAGGGCGTGCTTGAAGAGAGCGGGCACCGGCGACGCGAACATGGTGGGAAAATTGTTCTTCAACGTGGTGCAGACGAAGTGCTTCGTCTTGAAGCCGAAGAAGTCGTGCGTGAGGCACTCCTGGTGGGGCAAGTGCGAGAAGACGAAGGTCGTGAAGCAAGCCGTTTTGAGGGATAACGTACCGTTTTAATTAATCGATTAATTGGAATATTGTCGCGGAGTATAATCGGAATTTTTTTGTGCCAAATCCGCGTTTCTTGATCATCGAAATTTGGTGATTTTATGGGTGAATTGATTGGGATATTAACTACAAAAAATATGTATTTTAAAACTAACTAGATTTTTTTCTCTCTCGATTATTGTGGATTTATTGGAAAATGTTATAGGTATATAAACTTCTGGGTAATTTATATTGTAGTCTGAACTCGCAATAGTGCGCAACTTCTACTGAGCATTCAAAGAATAGAGCGCTGTTGTCAAATGTTTAAATCATTTCCAACTTTTGATCCGAAATCGATTAAATTATAATTGACTTGTACCCGTTTAATTGTAGAAAAGGAACGATTGGAAGATATTCGCCTTTTTTGTAACATTTAATTTGTAAATTACGATTTTGTATGTATATGTATGTATGTAGATATATTTGCGGTATTAAATACTTAAAAAAATTGTTTGATTCGAATGAAAATCTATGAAATGAAACCATTAGTAATAAGAATAAATGTATTTGTCATATCTAAATTTGCCAATTCGGACGAGTAGTTATTTCACAAGAAATTGTTTACAAAACTACTTAAATACTTGCTCAAGACAATAGAAATGAATGAATGAAATATTTTAGATTCTTTTATTATCAAGAAGTAGTCTAAAATATTTGATCCAATAAACTTTACCATTGTAAATACCTTAATTCCAAAATATCTAACTATAAACTATTGGTATAGAAATGTGATCTATTAATAAGTAATAATAAAATAAAAGCTTTTTTTCTCAAAGTGCTTACGTTTTTTATTTATAATCTTCAATAAACTTCCTGTAAATTCCCCAAAATTTCAAAATAAGATTCCTGTATTTTCGACAATTCCTCCATCTTCCGGTAAGAATCTTAAAAACTTTTGACATTGACATAAAAGCATTGGTGTTAATCGCGTGAACTACAGAAAAGTCATTTGTCATTATTGTCAACGTGGTTGAATCAAATTGAATGTACACATTTTTATTTGTTTCTTTTTATTTAGTGAGAAGAACAATTAAAATAGACTAATTAATTGCCTTAAAGTGTAGTGATCGATTCGATAATTCGTGCGTACAATTCAGTAGCTGTCATGTTTGAGTTTAATCAGGTAAATTGATCGTTCGGAGTAAATTCAGCATTTGTCTCGTGGATTCTAACCTATTTTTTTTTCTGTCACTCCAGTTTAAATTTGAAAATATAGGGTATGCTACGAAACTATATAAAAATTTTAATAAATGTTTCTATCACTTTTTTAACAAAATATCTAAAATTCATAACTTTAAGGTAGGTAGCGGGCGATTCGAAGAAAACGAAAAAAAAACTCGACTTACTCGTTCTGTTTCAGTTACTGGTTATTTTATGGCGGAACTATGACAGGCTCAATGAAGAGAAAACTGCGTTTAGAAAATAAAAAGAGAAAAATGGCTGCTTTAATGGATATAGTTAAATTAAACGAATTCGATAGAGTACAGAAAAACAAACATGACAAAATAGATAATACTGTTATTATGAATCCTATGAAAGAACCCGTTCCTAAGAAGTTGAAAACAGAAAACCACGAACTGTAAGTTACCAGAAATAATATTACCCCATCTCTCTAATAACATCAAAAATGTAGCTACATTACTTGCAGGAACGAGAACAATTTGAAGCAAGAACCACTCCCGCCGCCTCTGATTGGCGAACTGGGCCCCTCCGGCAAGCCCAGGCTGGACGGTGACGAATTCAAAGAGCTGAAGAAGATGCTGAGAGAAAAGACCCAGAAGCACCGGAACGCGCCGCAGCTTCGGCTGAGGGAATTGGGCGCGAACGCCAGCTTAAATATCGACATTAACGATCGAGTAAGGGTCTATGGTAGATAACGAGGCATTAAAGTATCCTTTAAGGAAAGGAAGCTTTAAGATAAAGTGTACTTTAACGTTATTTCTATTGTCAATTGCTTTAGTAATAGATGTAATAGATTCTTTTAGGTAAAGGTTGCTTTAAAGATGCTTTTGATTTAGCTATAAAAGTGTTTTAAAGTGTTACAAAAGTGCTTCAAGCCTTTTCATTTCTTTCGAATCAATTCTTTTAAACCGTTGTAAAACCGCCCTAAAAATGTCGCTTCTAAAACTGATTCCAAATCGCCCGTTCAAACTCTTTAAAACCGTCCCAAAACAGTTTCAGATCTGATTCAAATTCGCTCTTTCAACGTCCGAAAAACGTCCCTAAAAACCGCTCTAAAATCGCTTTAAAACTAATTCAAAAATGCTCTTTCATTTGATTCAAAACCTCCCTAAAAACCGCTCTCAGTTCGAATTAAAACTGTTTCAAAATCGCTCTTTCAAACCGCTCTATAATCGTTTCAAATCTGATTCAAAATCGCCCTTTCAAACGCTTTAAAACCGTCCCCAAAACAGATTCAAAATCGACTTTCAAAAGGCTTTAAAACCGCTCTAAAACCGTTTCAAAACTGATTCAAATTCGCTCTTTCAACCGCTTTAAGGTCGCTCTAAAACCGTTTCAAACCTGATATAAAATTGCTCTTTCAAAACGCTTTAAAATCGCTCTAAAACCGTTGCAAATCTTATTCAAATTCGCCCTTTCAACTGCTTTAAAATGTCCCTGAAACCCGCTCTAAAATCGCTTTACAACTGATTCAAAATCGCTCTTTCGAACGCTTTAAAACCGCTCTAAAATCGTTGGAAATTGATTCAAATTCGCTCTTTCAACTGCTTCAAAACCACCCTAAAAACCCTCTCAGATCGCATTAAAACTGTTTCAAAATCGCTCTTTCAAACCGCTCTAAAATCGTTTTAAATCTGATCCAAGAACTCCCTTTCAAACGCTTTAAAACCGCTCTAAAAACAGTTTCAAAACTGATTCAAAATCGCTCTTTCAAACCGCTCTAAAATCTTTTCAAATCTGATTCAAATTTGCTCTTTTAACCTGCTTTAAAACCTTTATCTGCACTCCTAATTCAAACTACATACTATTTCCAGATACCCCTGTTCTTATCGGACCTCCAACACCTCCTCATGTACTCCCAAATCGGAGTACACGCGCCCTACTCGCCAGCCAGATGGTGCGCCTTGGACAAATACAACAGGCTGATCAACACGAATCTGATCATCGTCGAGAACGTGTCCCTCTACCACTTCACCGCCCACGAGAGCATGTTCCCCTTCCTCAGCTCCTACTTCGAGCACAAAGTGGAAATGATCACTCCCAGCTCCTACAACAGCGACATCATCAAAGACCTCTCCATGGTGCCCCTCACCGGCACGCAAATGAAGAAGTTCCAGAACAATTTCGGCACGTTGGAGAAGGCCGTGCTGAACAGCAGCGAAGTGTTCGACACCGTCAGGAATTTCTTTCCCATCGAAGAGTCCGAGGTGCCGGAAACGGCGCCGATCGGTAGGAATTTACCGGTCAGCGACCGGTTCTCGAGGACCGAACTGTTGCTGTCCGGCTGGCAGATGGTCGAGGAGAACTTCCCGTTGCCCATAAAGGGTTTGATGGAGAGAAAATACTTGGGGTACGTGTTGACTAAAGATAAATACAAGCACGTCACGCCGTCCAGTCCGATGTATGCTTTAGATTGCGAAATGTGCAGGACGTCTACAGGTAATACAAACATCCATAATTCATAAAATATACTAGTTTACAATGTTTTGTGTAAATAACATTCGAATTCGCGTATTAATGACCAACAACAGTCTCCTAGAACACCATTTAGAACTGTCTAGAACCCTTTAGAATGCTCCAGAAACATTTAGAACGCTCCAGAATCATTTGAAACTGTCTAAAACTATTTTGAATGCTCTAAATTCATTTAGAATTGTCTAGAACCATTTAGAACGCTCCAGTATCATTTAGAACGTTCCAGAATTATTTAGAACGGTATAGAACCATTTAGAACGCTTCAAATTCATTTAAAATTGTCCAGAACCATTTAGAACGCTACAGAATCATGTAGAACTCTCTAAAACCATTTAGAACGCTCCGGAAACGTTAAGAACGTTCCAGAACCATTAAGAACGCTACATAAACATTTTGAACTGTCTAGAACCATTTAGAACGCTTCTAAACCATTTGGAACGCTCCTAAATCGTTTTAGGACTGTCTACAATCATTTAGAAGTGACTAGAACCATTTAGAACGCCCCAAAATCATATATTATGTATTAAAAAAGTCGATTTTATGTAACGCAATAAAAAAAAGTACTTGTTATTTTGTAGGTGATTTGGAATTGACCAGGATATCGTGCGTGAACGAGAAACTGGAAGTGTTCTACGACACGCTGGTGAAGCCCGACAACGAAATCATCGATTACCTGACCAAATGGTCGGGTATCAACAAGAAAATGATGCAGAACGTCTCGAAGAAACTGAAAGACGTGCAAAACGACCTCCGGAAACTGTTTCCGGAAGACGTCATCTTGGTCGGGCAGTCTCTATCCAACGATTTGCACGCGCTCAAAATGATGCATCCCTATATTATCGATACAAGGTATATAACGCTATTTATGCTTTTGAATTGTTTAGCACTCTTACTTGACTCGATATACAATAACATCGAAGCTCGATACACACACAAATCCTGATTATTTTTTATTTGTTTTAGTGTAATATACAATATAACTGGAGACAGAGCCAGGAAATCGAAATTGCAAACGTTGGCGCGGGAATTTTTGAAGGAGAAAATCCAGATCAGCCATCACGGGCATTGCTCGAGCGAGGACAGTCTGGCCTGCATGAAATTGGTTCAGCTTAGATTAAGGAAGCACCTCTATTACGGGGACGCCGTAATGGGGGGCGTCAAGAACGACTTGAGGACATACCCCGAAATGGGTACTTCGCAATTCGCCACTAGTATGTTAAGGCAATGCGTTAAGATGGATAAGAAAGCGAACGTAACAGGTACTCTTAGACTTATTATCGATGTGTTAATCGATTATAATTGGATTTAATTTTAGGTGTCGATGAAACGAGCTTGAAGTACAAATTTTACGTGGATAAAGGCGACGATAAGGACATGGCGAGCATAAATTGTTGTTCGAAGAAATCGAACAAAGAGGCGATTCGAGCTTACTGTGATTCGTTGAAGAATTATTCGTTGAACATCGCGCATTTGCGGGTGGCCGATAATCAGTTAGATTGTTCTAATTGTAAGATATTTAAGAATTTAGATAAATGGATTAGGGAGATATACGAGCACAGTACAAGTCCGAGTTTGCTGATGGTGTTGTTCGGTGGACAAAAACAGGCCAACGGGGTGTGTTTCTTACAAGTGAAAAAGGATTTATTGTGAACATAAACATATGTATAAATGTATTGTTAATTTCAATTTATAAACTTTTTATATGTTCCAGTCGGGTTTGTTAATTTTGTCATCTATTCTGTTAAAATAAACCTTTTACATTTACCTACGTTTCGCCTTATTTATGTAGCTTATTATTAAGTAAAAAAGAGTACACTAGGTGACCTACAATTTCAGTGCTTCTTGTAATTTTTTTCTGGCTAATGCCACTCGATCCTCTTGTCTCTTGATGTCGTCTTCTGAAATATTAACAGCATGTACCAGCGGTTGTTTTGGATCCAAAAATACCCCAGGATTTTTTTCTAGAAGAGATTTTGTACTCGTTTGGCCCGTAACGGGTTGAGAGGAAACATGCAATGCAGTCGCAACACTTTGTATAATTGTATCTTCAGTTACATTAGGCCCTACCGGTTTTAAACCTGTAAACATAAATAATCAGAAACTGATAATAATCATGTATTAAAGCGTATACCTTTAGGAAGCTCCATAGCTTCAAACTCGAACCCATCGATATCACAAGCCCTCAATCCTTCCAGTCTTTTCTCCCATATTAATTGCTTCGGTTTCTCCTGGTTGCCGTTTTTATAGTCGTTTTTCACTTTGCTTTCCTGCAGTTTGTAAACGGTCACCGGCTGCTTGAAAATACTGGCTGTTTGCCTTATAGGGGGCACAAGAGACCCATCGTTCCGAACGCCTCTGCTGTAATATAAATCCACTTTACCCACAGTTAAACCCGTTTTACGTAGAACGTCGTCTCTTTGCCATCGTTTCGGCACTTGTGCACATTCGTATTTAGTTTTCTCGATAGTAATACTAGCCATTTCAATTTTTGTTTATTATCCGCAAGCAAGTTCAATAATCGCACATGTCAATCAATTGTCAATGTCAATAAATTTCCACTTTTAGTGGTCTTTTACTGTTTTTGAATTTGTTAGAAAAAGAAGAAATATTGACATTGAGACATTGACAGTTGCTGTCAAAAGTTTGTTATTGTTGATTTTGGACAATTCCGAATGAAATTATGTCTGTAAACGATAAATTCGTTTTGAAATCGACAAATGCCGATTTTAATTTGCGACAGAAGAATGTATTCGATCAATTAAATGCGCTCGAGAGCGGCAGAAATCAGACGAGCCCGAGTAATGACGTCGAAATGGACACAGACGAGCCCGATGGGCACGAGGCGCACACCCCGAGACAGCAAAGATCCATAACGAAGCGATTGAGAGGAAAGGAGAGCATATTTAAAAAACCCCAAAATCCGGTGCCTAAGAACTACATCAACCGAATACCCGATTTCAAGAAGAACCCGCACAAGTGGACGAGGTATTCGCTGGATGATGTAGAAGAGGTCTCTGACAGAAGTAACACGAAAGCGGCGTTGTCTTTTCTCGAAGAACTGAATCACAGGAAGCTAACGGAACCCGCCGAAGACGAGGAAGCGACCGATTTAACTAAAAAGATTGTTTTCAAAAAACAAACCAGACCCATCGAGACTGTTTCGAGGATATCGAAAGAGGAACCGGAAAAATTAACGGGAGGCTTTAAGAGCTCCAAAGTTTTAATGCCCGAATACGTCGTAGGGCAGAAAGTTAAAAAGGACAAGAAGAAGAAAACTATCATGTTAGGAAAAGAGTTAAAATTAGATCATCTTTACGAAGATGAGTAGTGCTTGAGATTAGTCATTTTGTACATTATTTTTTAGATTTGCTCTTAGATATATATTGAAGTTAACATTGTTATTTTTAAACAAGAAGCAGAGATAATTGATTCTACACTTCTACGTAGCGCAATCAAGTCATTAATTCTTTTCGTGCATCGTTTTATTGTTCGTTTAGAGACATCAGAACGGTGTAGTACGAAAACGAGCTTCTGATAAGCTGAAAATTAATCTCTCACAGCTTAAATTGATACCATTATAACCGACAAGGTATACCTGTAAATACAATTGCATCGATAAATCGAAAATTAAAATTCTCAAAGTCAAAGGTTTTTGAGTTTTCCCTAAAAACAAACACATCGTGGTCTTGGTAGATTTCGAGCTCTCCATTCTCAACGCCTCGTATACAGCCGTAGGCAATCGATTGCTCTAAAAAAATTAATAATTATCCTTGGAGTATACAGGGTGTCCACTATAAGAACTGACATAAAGGGTGTTGATTAATTGAGTGCCGCTACTTCAAGATGTGAATATTTGGATGATTTTAAGAAAAAAAGTTTATATCAATATATGTCCTAAAGTTTTCTCAATTTTTGAGCTACAGGGTGTTAGAGTTTTAGAAAAAAAAAATAACTTTACTATCGTAATTTTCTTATTACTCCAGATATTTTTATGTAATTTTGTACACACTTTGTAATTATTAAGGAGCATTTTTTGAGGCAAAAGATTAAAAAAAAAATTTACCAGTGATGTCTGTACGAGGTTTGAACTGAATACTTTTGAAGAAAAAATGGTACGCCACTGCTTTTTATAAAAACCAAAATTATGTTTAAAATCCTCATTTATTTTGGAGCAAATTCGGCCCGAAGATTTACTTGCTATTGCAACACCCTGTTGCTCGAAAACTAAGAGGTTTAGGACACAAATTGATACAAAGTTTTTTTCTTAAAATCATCCAAATATTCACATCCTGAAGTATCGGCACTCAATTAATTAACACCCTGTAGATATCAGGTATCTTAAACCTTTTCTGTGACCTCCGAAGCACACCAACAGAACAGATACATTTGCAGGAATATGTTTAATTGATAAGAGAGCGTCCTGAAAAACTCCATACTCATCGGCTCAGCCTGAAATATAGTACATTAAATTAACAAGTCTTTTACCACGAGAATGTGCTAAAATTAAAATTTCACACTCACCAAAGACAATTTAAACATTGTGGTGCAACAAGAAATCAAACTCGTGAAATACTGCTCTAAAATAATAAGAGAAAAGCGCTTCTCTATATTCCTCACGAGCCTGCAATAGAACAAAAATTCACGCTCAAACAAATTTCCAAAAATCTACTCTAACACCTCTATTCCCTTTTCAATACGACACCCTATATAATTGTACCACATGTAGTAAATTTCAACTCGATATCCCGTTTTATTTATACACAAAATTGTTACCCGCGTACTTGCGAATTTCCTCGTGGTGCTTGATACATTTCACCAGTTCCCTTTCATAATCCGACTCGTCTCGCAGCGATTGTAAACCCACCAGATTCTCGTAAAGAATGTCGCATTCGCCGGAGCAAACCGACATAATGCCGGCCACGAACGTATCAAAACAGAACGGTATGACTTATCAGATAAACCAGCAAAAAACTCTGGTAAACGTACATGAACTGGTAAACCGGTGTTGAATAAATGTAGAAAGGGTAGCAATCCACTAACGGCACTTCTCTGGTACCTAACAGATTTACAAAATTACAAAAATTCGATAAAGAGAAGGTAAATTAACGACCTAGTTCCATTCTATTCGTCAAAGGAGTGACTAATATGCAAGCGCAGAAGAAGTAATTCCCCGCCAGCATGCACTTGAACAGCTTGTCCCAAAAACCCATCGTTCTCTCGAATTTCCTTCGCTGGGATTCGCTGGGTCGCATGAGTGCCTCGTCCATGGTATGAAGCATCTCTCTGATAGCTCCACCATCTTTTATCAGCACGTAGTCTTTGAAAACCACCACGATCGAAGCGATGGATACGTAGAACTCGTCGGCGAAGGCCACCACGTCGTTCCTGGCCTTGTACATGTACACCACGTGGCAGAACTGGGGAGCTATTATGAACAAGGCCACCACCAAGATGGCGTAGACGACGGTGAGAATCAGGGAGTTTGCTATGAAGCGCTTGTTGGTCCAGATTCCGAAGGCGTTGAAGAGGTACCGGTGGGTATCGAAGTACCTGCTGGGTCTGAGATAATTCGATTTATTTTAGTGCGGTACTGCTCGTATTGAATTACTTACCTATCGGGTGAAGACATTTTTGCAGAATAAGCGACCACCAGAAGCTTATTGTTTCCAGTAATAACTTGTGTAAAATATTCATCAGGAAAGCGCATCGTGCATTTTGGATCAAAAGGCTCGCAATTAGAGTAATAAATACAAATTGATTCTTAAATTAATCCAATTTGCGCATTTATTAAATTATTTATTAGGTCGCTTATCGAGCTTGCAGTAACCGAAGCTGGTGCATATTTTCTGGGATATTCTCGCAGATTAAATGTATCAAAGCGAATCGGTAGTTTTTTTTATCCGGATGCCGGAGAAAAATTCCGGAAAATTCGTGACGGCGAAAGGGTTCTGTCGCCGGTGACGGGGAGCAGGATTTAGTGGCCGTTTGTCTTCTTGATAAACGGCCTGGACGATACCGGCGCGGGGGGGAGCGATCTTTACTCGAATTCCCGTTATCTAAATTCGTGTTTTACACCTTTGCGCTCCAGATAAGTAAATCCCGGGCTCCTGCCGAACCGGGATTAATCGGGAAATTAGCCCAAGATGGCCGGATGATTGCGGGAAATGTGCATGACAAAGTTACCAGCACCGGCCTCCGTACGTTTAAGCACTCCCGTCAATTAACGATTTATAACCCGGAATGCAAAGTGGCCTTTTAAGCATATTAACACTTAATATGTTAACGAGAGCTCTAAATATATGCGGTAATGCAAGGCGCGTAGGGAGAGAAATGGACCCTTATTATCCAAAGTAGGCGAATGCATGTGTGCGTGTGACCTTACCCTAGTAATTTAAATGGTCGCCCGAGGATAATTTACATATATAGTTCAAAGGAAATCTCTCTTGTGCCAGAGGATGCTTTCACAAGGAACTTTCTTATAATTTAAGGGATGTTCTTAATTATGCAAGAATAACTGTTATCATAGGATGCTAATAATATCTGTCAGAAATAGAATAATTTGACATTTGACATTTGCATTAAGTTTTGAATAATCTAGCTATCGTTATAATTAGTGCTTATTTGCATTAAAAAGAGGTAAAATACTTTTAATTATAAATCATAAAAGCAGTATTTTTGAGCGAACGAATCGTTAATTTGTAAAAAGAAATCCATCAGTTTCGAAATTACTGTTATTCTTATCTATAAAAAGAAAAATAATTTGACATTTGACAGATGCATCATAAACTTTCGAATAATCAAATTGTTGCTATAATTAGTGAACTTATTTGCAATTAAATAAACTAATTTTAAATCTAATATAGTATTTCTGCGAACGAATCGTTTATTTAGAAAAAGAAATCCAGTTTCGACAATTTATAAGTATAATAATAACGGCGTTTTACGGGCGATTCCAGCGTACGTTTCTCACCCGCTCGCGCCCCCCGGGAATCGGGTTCAATCTGCGGGTCAGGCCGGCGGGCCCCCGGGGGTGTCCTCGGGGTCGCGTTGTTAAAGCACTTTGCGCAACTTTCCCGTGCCGTCCATCATATTTTATTTTCCACCTGAAGTTCGCTTTACTATCGCGACGTGACCGGAAAACTCCGGAAAGAACTCCCTTAAAAACCGGCCTTCCAATCCGAAAGCTCAAACACGACGCTCTCGACTCGACTTACTTTTTTTGTTGTTTTATATCACATTCGCAACTTCCTGTATTAGGGCTGTTTTAGTTAAGTTTTTCGATTTGTAACATATTCGCCTTTAAAACTCTTTTTGGTTTCCTTATCAGCGGTTTCATCGAAGCTTTTAAACGAAGTGTGAACGGAAGTCTAGAATGTTAGGAATACGGAGGAAATTCGGCAACGTCGCCTCACCTCTTCAGGTGCTCGTCGGCTCCGAAAATCGCGAAACTCGAAGCGAAGAAAACCGCGACAACCCCTTTTTCGGCGCTCCTTCGACCGTCTCCGAGGTCGATCGGATCGCGAATGCGCCGAGCCGTTCGTCTCCGCAACGTTGCCACGTCTTCAATAAACTCCACTGACCTGGGTATTTTTTCAATGCGCCTTCTTCTGGAAGTTTATAGTTCTATATCAATAATCTGGAATCGATTAATCAGGTAAGAAATTAAGGTGATAAGAGACTTGATTTTGAAAGTGTTACTTTGGTTTTGATTTTTCCTGATTTAGAAACTAAATAAGATTATTTTGTTTTTGTTCAATTATTTATTCGAATAGTAGATAATTCTGTAATTTCGATATAAATATGTAGAAAAATGTAGTTTTATTCATTGAAAATGGATTTACGCACTTAAATTAATAAGTATTAAGTGATAAGAGATTATTAGTAAAACGTAGAACAATAAAGATTATTAAGATACTCGAAATAATAGTAAAATAATAGATGATACTGCATTTTATCGGGTATTATATTCAAAATTTCATCGATAAATATAGTTAAGTGCATATTTGTACGTCAAATTATAGTCTATGGCCCCAACCACATATTATCATATACTACTCTTTGTTCAACTCATTTAATTGACCATATTGCAAACTGAAATAAACCAATGTGTATTGGCTATGGGTGCAACAAAGACAACTCCATTAGACACTTATAAAGGAAAAAGAAAAAGTGATATTTTCACTCTAATAACTGTCATTTTAGTAATCTTTCTTTGTTCAACTCATATAGAAATAACCATATTGCAAACTGAAATGAACCAATGTGCAACAAAGACAACTTCCATTAGACACTTATAAAGGAAAAAGAAAGAGTGATATTGTGTCATTGCAACTTTTCACTTTGACAACTGTCATTTTAGTAATCTTTCCTTGTTCAACTCATAGAATTGACCACATTGCAAACAAATCTGCACCTACCCTACTCATATATTAAGATAATAAAACGGATATGTATAAAATTGTAACAAATATTAAAAAAAAAGTGGGAAAAACGCGAATATAATTACCACGCTTTACATTATAAGTTTTTCTACGTTTATTAAGATAACTTCGAGAGCACGCTGAATACATATAACAATTTTTTTAGGGAAAAACTCGAAGAAAACCCGGCAACCCCGCTTAACCCGTGAAACGCACGTCGCTTCCCACTTCCCATCCGAGCATCCGAGCAATACACACAGTACACAAACACACACACGCGCGCACGCACGTCCCCAAAGCGTGTCGCTGCCGCATAACCGCGTAGTCCGAGTCCGCCGCGCGACCACTCCGGATGTACGCGCCGAAGACGATGCCGGGCAACATCGTCGCCGAGTGGCTGCGGTCGCTGCGGCTCGCCCAATACGCCGACAGCTTCATCGACAACGGCTACGACGACCTGGAGATCTGCAAGCAGGTCGGCGATCCCGATCTGGACGCCATCGGCGTGCTGAACGCCTCGCACCGCGCCAGGCTGTTGCAGTCGGTGCGAACGCTGCGCGAAGAAGGCGCCGCCTCGGTGTACTTCACGCTGGAGGAGAGTGCCGCGTTGCATGACGAGTGTTTCTGTGAGGATGTGAGTGCCGGCGAGAAGGAGGCGGCGACGGCGACGGCGACGGTCGGGCGTCGCGGGAACTCGTCGCCGGGGGCGTCGTCGTCGACGGAGAGCGGCCAGGAGGTGGCCAAGTATCTCGATGAGTACGAAGAGGGTAAGGCGGAGCTGGTGAAGATACCCAGGGTGCAGTTGAAGGTTTTGCTCAAGGAGAAACTCGGACAGGACGGGATCAGGTTGAGCTGTTTACCCTATTCCACGCAGGTGAGGGTTGGTTTTTTTTTAACACGTGGTGTTTATGCACCTGTTTATGCAAGTTTATTGAACAACGGAAGTTGTAAAGTTTTAGACAATACTGAATCTAAGACGGTTTACCATACCTTGTTCATGTATTAAATCTGTGTATAAATTACTTAAAACTTTTCCTACTACTTTACTTTACTACAACATAATACGTTGAATAGGCACTACTAAATATAGAGTGGTTGACTAGCCATATCCATATGTTGCAAGTGTATATTAAAACTATACCTTATACTACAACTTAAGCGTTGAATAGACACTACTAAATATAGAGTGGTTGACTAGCCATATTCATAAGCTAAAAGTGTCTACAAAAACTTTACCTTGCTACAACTTAGGAGGTTGAGTAGACACTACTAAATGTAGAGTGGTTGACTAGCCATATTCGTATGTTGAAAGTGTCTACTAAAACTTTATCTTACTTTACTACAACTTAAGAGGTTGAATGGATATTAACCCTGTAGTGCGGTTGATTAGCCATAACCAAACGGTTTCATTTATCAAAAGTTTAAAAGGTACGTAAATTACTTAAAACTTTACCTACTTTTCAGGATAATAAACTTGTGTAAACAAGGCGATAATTTAACATTTTCTCATCAGTATTTTTATATTACGAAGCCGATAAAATAACGATTCTTAATTAGTAATTCATATTCATTATTCGTTTCCTTATTACTAATTGGATTTTTAACCTACATTTTTAAATTACACTCGCATAATCAACAATTACTAACTATTGTACGGATATTTATTTATTTTCTCGTCATTATACAAACACTCCTAATTACATTAATGCAATAAACTATTCTTTCAATTGAACCATTACCTTTTATAACGCATCTGATTACCAGAATTTCTTGTATAGCACTATCGTGAAATCGATATCCCATTTTTCCGTTCAATCGGATCGAAATTCGACAGGAATGCCATTCGAAAACAAAATAATGAACCGATCAAGCGCGGAACGTGATTTATCTATCTCCTACTAAACGCTTTTATATTCTCTCACAGTCATAAAATTCGATAAATACGAACGCCATTAATCAGTACGTACGGATATGTAGTTTACATCCACGGTTGTCTTGTCTTCTGCACAACGACATTTCTCATGCCAATGCCACTCGAAAATAATGAAAATTTTTGCGATAAACAGGAAAGATATAAACAGATATGAAATATTTGGAACTCCGTATTGAATCCTGAATTTTGAAGAATGAATCCTGAAGAAAAACCCTATCCTATAGCTTCTAATCTCTACTCTCAACTCAAATTTACTCTCAACTCTAATCTACTCTCTACTCTCAACTGAAATATATTCTCAATTCTCTATAGAATCTAGTCTCTACTCTCGATTCAAATCTACTTTCAACTTAAATCTACTCTCAACTCAAATTCGCTCTCAACTCTAATGTATCCTCTACTCTCAACTGAAATCTATTCTCAATTCTCTATAGAATCTTGTCTCTAATGTCTACACTAGTCTCTACTCTCGATTCAAATCTACTTTCAACTTAATCTACTCTCAACTCTAATCTACTCCCAACTCTTGACAATCTAGAGTCCACCCTCTATTCTCTACACTCTAGTCTCTATTCTCGACTCAAATCTACTGTCAACCAACTCAACTTAGATCTACTCTCGACTCAAAATAAATTCTACTCTTAACTCAAATTTACTCTCAACTCAAATGCATTCTTAATTCACTATTCTATACAATCTATATAATCTTGTTTCTACTCTCTTCACTCTATATAGTCTTCACTGTAGATTCAAATCTACTCTCAACTTAGATCTGCTCTCAACTCAAATCTGCTCTCGACTCAAATCTACTATTAACTCTCTACAATCTAGTCTCTACTCTCTACACTAATCTACTCTCTTGGGAGATTAATGTAATAAAGTATACGACGCAACAAGGGATTATTATTATTGGTGCGGAATTCCTATTTTACTCTTACTATTAAATTCTACTCTTAACTCAAATTTACTCTCAACTCAAATGCATTCTTAATTCACTATTCTATACAATCTATATAATCTTGTTTCTACTCTCTTCACTCTAGTCTTCACTGTAGATTCAAATCTACTCTCAACTTAGATCTGCTCTCAACTCAAATCTGCTCTCGACTCAAATCTACTCTTAACTCTTTACCATCTAGTCTCTACTCTCTACACTAATCTACTCTCTTGAGAGATTAATGTAATAAAGTATACGACGCAACCAGGGATTATTATTATTGGTGCGGAATTCCTATTTTACTCGACCCTGCGACGCGTAAATTAAGTTTTATTAATCTACCTGTCGACGGGCCGTTCTTCTTTTAACCGCACTGTACCCGTACAAAAGCCGATCCACGCACACAAACACACACACACACACACACGAGCGGCGCGTCTCGGTCGAGTGATTGATTCCCCATCATCGAAGGAAGAAGAAAATCACGGCCGTCGAGCGCCGACGGGTTTATATATATTTTTGTTGTGTTTGTAAAACGCAAATGAAGGGCGTATGTGCGCCCGAGATGTTCGAAAATCGCGACAAAAGGCCCGTCGTTTGATTGATAGCGCATCTGATCCTGTGCGTTCGTTGTTTTCCGAACGAATGAAAGATAATATTCGGTGGGAGATTCGTTGTTTTTAATGTGGTTCTCGTCGAGGGGGAGTAATTTTCGATTTACGTTCGAACATTTTTTCCGCGTTCGAAGTGTTTTTGTTTCGGGAATAACGTTGTTGTTTATCGTTTCGGTGAAAATCATTTTATATAAAGGAAAATAGTGAATTACTGGTGAAAAATAACCCATAAAAAACTATTATGGTACCATACAGGTTTCTTGTGTATTAAAGCGCGAAAATTGAGCTAATTGGAGCAATTTCATAAAATTACACGTACGCCTAATTTATTATGTACATACATACGTACAGTTTGTTTACAGTGTAATTTTATACGGAAACGGGGGAAAAAGTACAATATTTTCCTAACTGTCGCCTTTTTACAGGCGATATTTCGTTCGGCATGTATCGCAGAAATGGCGGAATTATTTAGGAAACGGAGCGTTTTGAATTATTCACGTCGTTTTTATTATTTTTATTGACTCTCCCCGTTTTATGTGTACCTCACATACGGGCAACACGGGGTTTTCGCCGTATACCATACTTAACCGGAATATTTATCAGCGGATAAACAGACTAAAAAAAATACTAAAGGATTCCGAATTGCCTGCGTATATTTTCGAATCGATATTTTTCACACGTAAATTCCGTTTTTTTTTGTCGAGTTATCGGCTTGAAAGCCCGTTATTTTTTCAACGCAAAAATACCTATACTTAGATCCCGAACATTAAAAATAGAGAAATATGGAACTTTTAAATAATTTTATTCGCTCGACAGGAAACAATGTCGCAATTTGGAACGGTTATTTTCGGTATAAACATTATTATCGCGACGATTCCCAATACCATTTCGCTCCGAATGCACATAATCAGTCGCGATTCGGCCCAACGTTATTAACATTAATATCGCACTGGGTTCTAATTAGGCCATTTCGATGGCGTGTTTGTTTTTATTATCTCAATGTTACGCATCCACAGTAATTATTTCAACTTTTTCAATTGCTCTGGTTATTACCCTGCATATAATGCATCCAATATTTGTCCCTCATAACGTCATAACGAGATTAAAATGAACGTTCTATGCTTTTTTACGTTTTTTTGTACTGTAAATATCACATTTACAGTAGTAAAATCAAGTAGATTAATACCCTACAAAAATCGCATATTGTACAACCAATATTTGTACTTCGTGACGTCATCACGAGATTACCATGAATACTCTATACGTTCCGTAGTATTTTTGTACGTTCACAGTAATTTTCGCATATAGTACATCCAATATTTGTACTTCGTGACGTCATGAGGAGATTAACGCGAACGAGCTATATATCCGTTTTATCGGATCCTTTTTTTTTTGTTGTAAATACACCGGAATCGAATCGTCCAATTATCAACGGACCTGCTTCGATAGAAAGAGGCGGCTTAACGGGATCACGAGACCTATATATTTTTTTTTTTTGGTGCGCTTCGAAACGGAACATCTGTCTCGAATCGCAGACGTTTCGGCTTTTATGTTGCGATGTCGAAATTAACGTTTGTTTTTCGAAATGCGTTACGAATTTGTCTCGACGCCTTCGTTACGAGCGGGAAGATTTGTTAGGTGGAAACGGAGAGAATCGGATCGATTGGGATGTAGAAAAAATACGTTTTGCAACAAGTTTAGTGGAATTGCGTGATATTAATGGAAATAGTTGAGATAGTGATGCGTTGTTTGTTTTATTTTGTAGAAAAAATGATTCTCTATAATTTTTGTGGAATGAAAATTTTTCGAAAAATGGTTCATTTTTGAGATATTTTAGTTTTTTAGGAGTTGCATGAATATTACTAATTTTATTGCAATTCGATTAAAAATCGCCATTATTTCGAACACAAATCGAGATGGAAACATCCTGGTTACTTCATTTTGTACAAAAAACGTTTATCTTCACTTTTTGAAGAATCGAAAATTTTCGAAAACCGCTTATTTTTAAAACTAAATTGAGTTTTTAATGGAATTCTTAAATATCACTAATTTTTACTGAAATTCGATTAAAAATCGCCATTATCTCGAACACTAATCGAGATAGAAACATCCTGGTTACTTGATTTTGTACAAAAAACGTTTATCTTCATTTTTTGAAGAATCGAAAATTTTCGAAAACCGCTTAATTGTAGAGCTATTTTGATTCATTATGGTTGTCCCTAAAATCATTAATTTTTACTGCAATGCTATCAAAAATCACAATTAACTCGAAAACAAATCGAGATAGAAACGTTCTGTTTGTTTTATTTTTCACAAAAAACGTTTAACTTCATTTTTTGAAGAATCCAAAATTTTCGAAAACCTCTTAATTTTAGAGCTATTTTGAGTTT